GTTATCCTCTGTTCTGGTTAGTGGCCTCAAAGCATCCTGATTTTTTTTTCATTGAGGGCATCACTACACAGTTAATGCCAGTAGTGGGATTAAAATATGTGAACAAGCAGTGTGGATGCCGCTTCTGGAAGTCCATTCTGGGCCTGGGCAACAAAAAATTAGCTACCGGTTCTGCCAAAATGGTGCAAAATGGCTGAATCCCACCACTGGTTAATGCCCAAAAGTGAACTTTTGTTTATTGTTTGCACAATAATGTTACAATTGGCTTTCTAGCCTTGTACTGAAATTCCTTGTTTTGTGCATTAATACTCAAATTTTGGACATTTGACAAGGTAGCACATGTGTTGATAACAGTGAGGATTTTGTTTGCTTGTTTATTTGTCTGTTTGCTAAATCTGGATCTTAAGTTAGAATCAATTCTGACCTGGAACAATGAGGAACTTTCTATACTGCAAGTAATATACCATTATACAGCATAATATGAGTAGGTTCTAGTTTTGGTAAATTCCATCTTCCTCAAACAATACAAGAGATAATTTGAATTTCAGCCTTGTTGACGTCAGAACTATAGTGCTGCATATCTTTTAGCATTGCTTTGTCTTCTATTCATTCTTAAAGGCTAGGCTTTATTTATTAACTGCTAATAACAATTTAGCTCACCGTCTCTATCTTCAATCTAACAGTCAGATTTTCTGGAGAGAAAATCTGAGCTCCTGTGTGAATTAATACATTATTTTTTCTCCTATCCCCTGCTTTTAAAGCATTCTGGTGAAACTGACAGTTTGTTTATTTGTTCACTTGGAATTTTGGCTAGCCTGTTCGACTGTATGTTTTGGACTTTCTTCTGTCAGTGCAATTTCGGGAACTAGGAGACAGATATGGAGGAGCACATTCTCTTTCTGATGCCATGCTCACCTGTTTGTTATGGGCAGCCCACCAAATTTTGGTCCTGTCACAATGTCACCCTGCTATGCTATTGTGCTTGATTCTGTAGCCCAGTGTTTCTCAGTCTCAACAACTTTAAGGTTTGTGCGCTTCAATTCCCAGACTTTTGTGAGTATGCTGGCTCACCCATCTCACTTCCTAAGTGGCTCTGAGCTGTTTACAAGTAAAAAAAAAAAACCATAAATTTCATACAAAAATAAACAAAATAAAAAGACAGAGCGAGCATCTTCAAGGTACCAGCCACCCCCAAGATTGCATACTACTCTTGGATCCCCATGCAGGTTGATAGAGCTAGGTCTTAATGCTCTTGTGGAATGCCAGAAGAGTGGGTGTCAATCTCACTTCAGGGGGCAAGATGCTGAAGTTCAGCTGAAGTCTGCAGATCTTAACCTTGATGAAGTTGAGAAACACTATTGAAGAGGAAAATAACAAAATCATGCTAGTGGTTTCCTTCATAAATATGTGCATCTTATGAACATTGAACAGTGGAGATGTAGAAGGATTGGGGGCAAGAGTTGCACTGGACAGCTACTTGATAGCCTTATGTTCTATAATTCCCAGCTCTTTTAATCACCTGGAAAAACCACCCATTTCTTTGTAGTATGTACCTTTTTTCTTGTTAATCAGCCTTACCTTTTCTTATACTTACATCATTGCAATGCAGCATCAGTAGTGTAATCTCTGTGATGGAACACAAAACAGATGTTCCCTTGAAAAGCCTGGGAACTATCTCAAATATTTGCTGTGAACAGCAGGTGATTCAGCATCTCTTACAGGAGGCTGCGTCATGGACCAAATGCTAATTGAGATCAAGGAAATGATGAAACACCATCCCACCTTTCTCCCTGATCTATTTCCAGGGAATTTGAGAATGGACAGGTTATTGGCACTGCTTTATATAAAAAATCTGAATCACACTAGTGAGGAATCTAATGAAACAAATTGCAAAGTGCAAGAGCTTAGAAGCATCCAATCACAAGTGAAGTCAAGTGCATCCATTCAACTAGCATTTTATACAAACATGGGCTCTGGAATCTGCTCTTAGTACCCACAAAACATGAATATCTGTTGTTCCCCAAAATAAAAATGTTTCTTTGCAGATTCTCAAATAGCTGGAAGACTACAGATCAACATGGGAAATAAGGGATATTGCTGTATCTCTGGAGAGGTGTAGTCTTCCTGGAGGTATTTCACTGGTCATTGTAGAAAAAAAGATGCTGAGCTTTTTAGATAGGGAAAGAACATGAGGAATGATGATTTGTTTTTTTTTAAAAAAAAACCTCTAATCATGGTACAGCTTAGAAAGAAAAAAGAACCCCCTGAAGTTTTTACAAATTGGAATGAACTTAAGATAGAAGAAAGAACAATGTAGTCATTGATATTATAAAGATTTCTTAATAGCCAAATCCATTGAGAAAATACATTTTTATAAATATTCAAATCAAATATACCCATTTCTTTACTTTTTGTACTGAGGTGATTTGTGGAACTATTTTGGATAGTGCCTATATAGCTGGAGGACAGGAGGTTGGGGAATACCGATCCAAACTTAAAGTTGTTTTCTTGCCACCAGACCTTGGAAAAAGTTAATATTATAAAATCAAACACACACACACACACATACACACACCTTTTACGCTCTGGGAGAGTCTTCATTTGGGACCCTGATCCATTTTATTTTCATTTCATCCTACAACATCCCATGCATTTTATTCTACCTCCCCCCCCATTTCTTCATTGAAATCAATGGTACTGCAAATGAGAGTATGGAAGGAAACACTTAGAACAAAATAACACTTTGGATCACTTTTTAGGTGAAAAAAACCATAATATTTTTAAATGGGATTGTGATTTATGTTTGACTTCCTTGAATAAAAGAGAATTAGTCCATCTGATTATCTAACACTGAACCATATTTTGGAAGGCGAGGAGGTCCCTGCATGTATGGAACTCAAGGTAATTGTGTCCCTCTCCCACTAAAAAAAACCCCTAACTACCCATACACACACATTTGCTGTCAATCTGCTTTATCATTTAGTCAACCTCCAGTTCCAGCAGCTTCAATAAAGAGATGATTGAAGACTGAATCTTGCAGAATTGAGGAGAAGTAGAATGACACAGAACGGCTTGCCTCCTTCCATGGGAATTGTTTGCCAGAGGGAGAGTGGAACATACTCTTCTCATTAGCAACTCTTCATATTTCACAAAAGGAAAAATAAATATAGTTACCAAATTCATCAGGGACGCCTTGAAGCCATGGCAGGAGAGAGGCCCAAAGGTTACAACCCAGCCCTAGCTTTCTTTGTGATATCTCAGAGGTCTCCAGGCTTCCATCTCTGTTCTCAGGACCTCTTGGCCTCCATCTCCCCACTCATCTCTTAGCCCCTCAGGAACCAGGCAAACTGCTTCAAACAAATTCCAGCAAAAAATTGTTCCCAGTTTCTCTGTTAAGTGAGGTTAATAAGATATAACCTCCAGCATCCCATTATATGGAATTATTTTCAAGATAATCACCCATTGGTAGCACAGTTACAATTTTGCACTGATGAAAATATTAACAACTGCATTTAGTCCTCAAAATTCTAAACTTGTGTCCAATTTGCCACTCTTGTTCACTGTTTCCTCCATAGAAAAAAAGAAAAATCCCACTAAATTAGAGGTAGGGCATAGTTAGGACTGCATCTTGGTTTTCCTCGATCTCGTCTTTCATTTTTCCTGGCTTTGGGCAACTTGCTTAGCTTAGTAACTGAATTCCTATGATGGGAATGACAGTATGACATGACTGAACCATAACCCAGTCAAACATGAACCACACTCAGAAACAAACAAACAAAACACCTAACCAAGATTAAAATTAATCCGACTTAATAAACTATGCTGATGCAGCTGTTAGGTCTTTAAGTAACTATGTTGTGTAATACAAGTCTATAGCTGTAGTTAACTGGGAATTCCAAGAACATATTTTGTTATATAAATATAAATGGAAGTTCGTGAAATCCTATATTGATGTATTAAGTTATTTTAAATGGAAGAATTAAGATTAAGCATAGAAGGTTCATGGACACTACTATAATTAGGATTTTAGACATCATTATAAAAATTGGCTTGGAACATTAATTTCTCTGGTGAGAGTAAAACTGGAGTGAATTTTAAATTAGGACACTTCAGCCAAGAGGAGAAGGGAATGACTTTTGAAAATGATCATCTTGTTCAGCCCTCAGGATCAACATCCATACAGTTTCAGAGTCTCTCCAACCTCCCAGATGAATTTTGGGATGGAAGACCTATGAATAAACTGACATTCTTAAACCATCTTTGGAAAGGGATATTTTAGTTGGGTGAGGTTTTTTTAAAAGACAAAAATTGACTCAGATTTATAATTTAGCCAAAAGAAATTGAGTCCATCATAGAACAGTTTGCTCCATCAGAGCAAGGAAACACTTGGATCCAACCAATATCTGGTATTGTATAAGCATGTCTGATAAGTGTATTATTCATGGTATGGTAAATAGGACTATTATTTCTCAGTTGTTTACGGACATGACTTAATTTATCTTTTGAAATTTGTGCACTGACCATTTCTAATAACAACGCTTGCTGATGCTGGTCCAAATATTAATGCCGAATATCAGACATTTGCTAAAAAGTATCCATTATGAGAAACCAAATTCCCTTCAAAATTGGCATAGGAAAAGTTTGAATGCCAATGTGATTTATGGAATGGTCTTCTGTTTCAAACAGAACTTCAGGAACCTGCCATAAATGACACCACATCTTTCCAGAATGATTTTTTCAGCAATAATTCATTAAACTCAAATGATACCTCTGTATAATTTTTATTTTCTTTCTTTGTTGTTTTCAGTTCATAAAAGCAAAATAAAAATATGATAATGCTTAAAACTCTAAATCAGTGTTTTCTAGCTGGGAAATTCTGGGAATTGAAGTCCACATATCTTAAAGTGGCCAGGTTTGAAAAACACACTGTCCTTAAATGGTGCTTACTACTAGGATAACAACCAAAAGAAATACATAGAAGAAAGAAAGAGAATAAGAGGTTGAATCCAGACTTTATTTTGTTTCTAAAATGAAAATAAAAGAGCAGTACAAATATGCTTTGGCATGAGAAAGAGAAGACCTGTCTAGGAGTATTTTATTCAATTCCCCCCTCCTTCCTCCCCCATTTCCTATTTTTCTAAGTGAAAAAAAACCCCAACTAAGAATAAAATTCTCCCAAATCGTTCAAAAGCAAGACGTCTTCAATGCTGTTTGCAAACAGTATGTCTATATTTATAAAGATATGGCGCATATATAGATCATTTATATTAAATAATTCTCCTTGAAAATCCCATATCTAACATTTATATACATGTCAAGTATTAGAAATAGGTGTTTTAGAGTCACTGTTAAAAAATAGCAAAACACAAGTTCTGCTTTGTAACTTCCTAAGCAAAAGTACAATGTTGTTATTTTTTCCGTTTTTCCAGTGCCCCTTTAATTTACTACAAATAAATATAATGGATGGTTATAAAATAAATAGGAAGAAAACACTGTCCTTGGTACAAGGGTTCTTCGTTCACAGAAGTGCAGCAGCTATCCCTCCTGGTGTTCCAGATCTTGTTGCCTCTATTGCAAATTGTTGCATCCTACACTTTGGAGGAAAAAAAGGATATCTCTCTTCCATTGATGTCCTGTCTTTAGACTCATGTAAAATGACAGTCAGAGACAGAAAGCAGAGCAGCTCTTTGGCAAATGAGAGGCAGAGTAAACAGGTGGTGTTGCTGGGCCCACACCTGAGGCTGTGAGCCCAAAACTTAACTAGGGAAGCTTCCACTGGCTCAGGTTTGCCCTCAGGGGAATTTTTAAAAGTCAAGAGGGTGGCTGCAACTGCACAACGGAAGCTCCTCTCCCAACTTTTTAAATGCATTGCAACAGACATAAAAAGGGATGAGCCTTCCGTTGCAAAGGAGTGGCTACCATTTTGACTATTTTGATGCCCCTCCCCCCACAGATTCTCCTGCTTCCCTTTTTCCATCTATTAATTAACTTTGTTCCCTGCCCCACAGCAACTCATTTATTCAGATACAAAGCCAACAACTTTTAAAAGTTGTTTGTAATTTTTGGTTTTGGTTTACAACAAACCATTGATCCAAACTGGTTTGCTCTTTGGGATCTTCTGAAATCAGGTTGTCTATCAGAGTAACAGAGCATCAGTCAGGTCATAATTTTTTCTCTTTCTCTGAACCGTTTCCCCCCCTCTAATGACTGCCATCTGTCCCCTCATCTCCATTTCCCACAGCATCCTAGCTGAAAAAACTATATAACTGTAGGTATTAAGCAAAAATATCAGAGAAGCATTTCATACAATTGACTCTGTATTGAGTATTCCAAATATCATATACTACTGTTGCTCCTATTTGGGATACTTTATTTTGGTTTTTCCCACCCTGATTTTATCTTTGTCTTCCCTGGCCGTAATGTCCTGAGAAAGTTCTTAGCAGACAAGAGCAGAAACAAATAGCCCCTGTTTCAAAGTAGATATTTTAAAATGCTAAAATCATGTGAGTATTTTTATACATAAAATGACTACTGTTTATCATATTTGTTACACAGAATCACTTCTGTTGAATGGTTGTTTGGGGAATGAATCCAGGTCCATTTACATAATCTTTCATTCAGAGATATCACAGTCTTGACTGCTTACTAATTCTTTATTTGCTTGTCCAAATGATTCATCCAAATGATTCATTGACTGTGTGAGAGAGACTGTGTGATGGTTTTTGGTTTAACAAAGCCACTGGATAACTAGATCTTCTTTAACCTTTATTTCATCTTCTAGTATGGGACAAAAATATATCTGTTATCTTTAAAATACAGAAGCTGGTGGAATTTAGAATTCCCTGGACACAAGCCTCAACTTGAAAAAGACCCTGATTATGCATAAAGTATGTTGAAAATACCCTGATTCCTTACCACAGCATTATCTGATAAGGGCTGCCATCAAAACATGCCCTGAACACTCCAAATAAAACCCTAATTCAGATCATTTTATTGTGTGAACGTACATCCTACCAATAATAACAGATCTTACAAATAGCTGTCACTTATTAGTTTGAACAAGACTTAGATATGACTCTCTAGAGTGGAGTTGATTGAAAGAGACCTCATGAACGTCACTGGAAATATTTAGCTTATGTCATATTGCTTCCTTGCATGGATTTTGGCAGCATTCAAAAGGGCAGAAGAAAATTTTCTGGACCATATCAGTCTGCAGAGGAACATATTCAGTAGTCTTAGAACTGCAGATCTTGCAGATCCTTCCCAAATTGTTGTTGAACTGTAAATTTTAATGAAATGTGGAGGTAAGTTTTTTAGACATGGGGCTAGCAAGCAACCATAAGAATTACATTAAACTGAATTGCATTAAAATAAAACCAAACAAATTTGAGATGTTGCCTTGCTCCTCTTCTACTTCCACATTCCTCATAAAGGAATACTACATTAAGCTGCTGTAGCTAGAAAGATGTTTCCAGGAATCTGACATGGGGGCTACACCTAAAAGTCAACTAGATTTTGAGAAAGCACAAAATAAGAAAAATGTCCCCAAGCCTGAAGAGCTCTCAAATGGCTTTTGGGTCACATGGCATTAAGGGTAGGGGAAATTCTCAGTCAAACAAGCCAGCAAAGGGAGTTGATTTAAATAAATCCTTAATGACAAGAAAGGATCTCTTTAGAAGGGTTCCTTATAACTAGGCATGACTGTCCTCTTTTTCCAGGTTTGGTGGGAAATGTTGCATGGTTGAAAACACAGCTCACAGCAAAGGCACAAGATATGAGAAGGAATTATGGCAGTGGGATAATGCAGCCATGGTTGGAACAGCTGCATTAATCATGGGAAATACAGATAAATCCAACTTCTATTGGCTTGTATTTGTGAGAAATCTTACCCTGAAATGCTGGCTATGCCATAGTCAGTCTGCACACAGTATAGCCACATGTTAACTGGAAAGCAGAGAATAAGGGGGGAAAACATGGGCTTGTGATCAATGTTCTCTTGGATCTCCTGGTCTTAACTATTGTTTTCTCAATAGTTTGAAAGCCTGGCATTTCCAGACTGGACCAATATCATTTGTAGATTCTTGCAACATTGCAGCACATTTCCATGCATTAAATGGACTATACAAATTCATCTCTGGGAATATTTTAGTTTGTTTATGTATTGATTTATTTTGCAGAAAAGCAAAATAAATAAATAAATAAAATAGGTCATGCAGCAACGGGAAGAGGAAGAGGCATTTCCATAATCTGGAATTGAGATTTAGTACATGCAGGCACAGCAGGGAATACTGACAAGAATTTGACAAGTATATTCTCTCGGTCAGCGGGTCTGACCTTTGACATATTATGCAGTGTGTAAAACAGAGAAGGAGATAAACTATTTACTCTTCCTATTGTTTTATCCTTCAGATAAAACAGCTAATGAAATTAAGTGAAAGATTCATATTCTAGAGTTTCCTGGACCAGCTCCTGGATAACATCACCTGCTTCCTGTACTCTCACCAGTGTTAAGGCAAAACTTGCTCCATTGTTCCTATACATTTCCACAGATTAATGAACAGAAGCACAGTTCCTTACTGGCAACCTATCTTGTTCATAAGTCTTACTGAAATGTCATTGCAAACCTCAGGTTGCAATAGAAGCTAATTTGCTAGCAGGTATACATAGAACCTGGCTTCTCTTTGATGGATGTACATGCGTGATACAGATGTTTTACCAATATCTATACAGAATATGCTATGTTTCTGTATAATATTTTAGGTGTACACCATAACATTAATTTTGGAAAGCACCCTAAAAGGTAATATATGCTACCAGCTTTATGATGGGTAGCAGACAGCCCCCTGCACAATGAGGGAGAACACCAGCATGGACTGAACTGAACACAACCTTTTTTGGCATGGAATAAATTAGGCTCTGTAAACACAGAATGTGCCTCTAAAAGCAACTGTCAAAAGAATGAAATATCATATATTCAAGAGTAAAATAAGGCCTATTGTTTACCAATAGTGAGTAGTGACTCCATCTTTGAGTTTGTTTCCATGTCCACTTAATCTTAGAGAAGAAATAGAAATAGCTAACAAGCTGCTAATGGGCTATACCTAGGTTGATCTCCCTTAGCATCCAATTTACTATTTTTTTTAAAGCTTAAGAAATATTTTAAAAAATCAATTTGAAAAGTAACATACCCTGAAGCCTCTGTTACTTCTGTTTATAAAATGTTGGGCATCATGTAAGCCCCATAACATAATGTTTTCACGTTATGCTTGATCCCTGTGGATGCAAAGAGACCTCTAAATAATTTTCTCATAGAAGGGGGCTTTCCATTGCCCATTTCTTGAACTCTTTTCAAGTTCCTGTTTAGTGGAATGTCTTAGAGGTTTTCCAGTCCAAATACTAACCATGCCTGACCCTGCTTAATTTGTCTTAGCTCAACCAATGAATATGTGATAGAAATGTAAAAAATTTAATGAGGACAACTCTTTGAGTTATGAATTGGCAAAACCCTTCTGTCTAGGATGTGGGATGAAAAAGAAGACATCTCAAGGGCTGAAAATTAAGGGACAGAGAAACTAACCTCAAAAATGAGGAGTCCTTGGTGCTTTCTGAGTTAGGTTGTTTGATTGCAACCATATCATTACCCATCTAGGTAATAAATTGTTACCCAGTTGGATAATGAGATGTCTGCAAGCAAGCCATCAAGCTCAGAGAGCACCAAGGACTTCACAGCTCAATCCTGAGCTACGGATATTTTCTTCTATTGTAACTTCAAAAATGATTCTCTGTGCCTTCTTTTTAGAAATGTTAACCTCTCATCTCCTTCTCAGCAGTCTACTATTGATGGCTGGTTGGAGAATCATTGGCAGCAAAATGTGGAAGTGTGATCCCAGAAACATTAAGCTTCTTTTCATGTTTTCTATCCTGGTTTCATTTTGAAACCAGGTTCATGAGTCAGAGAGTTTTTTTCAATAAAACACAAATATGTTGAATCCAAATATATTAGTACATGTTCTTCTATCACAAGAACCTTCAGAACTTTTCCTAAACTTGAGTGCCTCTTACATTCTTCTCAACCAGCCTCAACTCCTAAGGAGACATTCTGCCAGTCAGCCCTCCAGCCAGCTCTGGTTTTACACTTTTGTCAATGTGATGCTGTGCCGATTGCTTCTAATACTAAGTTCACATGAGCAGGAATGATAATAAAAAAGCTTTAGCTTAAGACCAGCTTAGCCTAATTTGCTCACTGATGCATGAGCCCATTTGAGCCAGAAAGCTTAGTTGCTTTGTGAGCCTCTCAGCAGAATCTGTCCCAGGAAGGAAGAGAGCAGGGACAGCACTGGGAGTGACTTTTAGCTGAAGTCACACATGTTTGTTTATCTCTTGCTGATGCAGCCAAATGAACATAAGTTAAGGGTTAATGTTCTCATATAGCTTTCCCATTTTTACTATCTGCTAAGAGAAGACAGGTTGTTGCATTCGTCGATCAGATCTGTTTGCTTTTCATTCTGCCACCCTTACTAGAATCAAACTCAGTCATACTGTATTTATATATTTTAAGGATGGTCCTGAATTTAAGACATCCCCTCCCCCTCCAAAATGGGAGTAGACACAAAGATTTCCCTGGAAATCTAGAATTATGCTTCTATTTAAAGATAAATTGTTTTGGGGGGGCGCCTTCAATTAACTTTATCAGTTCTCTAAATTCCCTTTTGCATGGGTCTCTTTAACATCCTACAGTATACCTAGTTATTGTCATACATAATTTTAAATGATCAGTGTTTATAGATAAACAACATACTATATATACATCATCATGAAGGCAGTATCTTTGCTTTGAGGATCCTATAAAACCCAGCTGAAGGCCTAGGACTGGAGTGACAGCGTGCGTGCCCACAGAGAGGGCTCTGAGTGCCGCCTCTGGCACCCGTGCCATAGGTTCGCCACCACTGGCCTAGCTTATGAGCAAACATGTGGATTATTCTTAAAGTCATAATGAGTTATCCAAGGTTGAATGGTTGATTTCCAATTAATTCAACTTTCCCGGGTTAGCTATAAAACATTCAGGTTAGCAAACTGGGGCTGTGTCCCTTTGGTGCAGTGTGACCCATGATTCACAGCCCTCATCTGATTTGTAGAAATGCAGTAACTTTTAGAGGACATTGCACATCCTAGAAGAATAGAAATTTAGGTTACAGAGAAATGATGATATTTGAGTAGGCTCTGCCTTCACTTCACATCAGACTCTTGCTGCATCATAGTGAAAAGATTCTATGCCAAGACAGTGCCAGAGATACAACCTTATCACACTTGTGAAGAAGTTAAATCTTTCACATATTCAAAAATGGTAGATTTGAGAGGGAAGTATACTGTAGTAGCATTCCTTTCTAGGACAACAGAGCCTGTGAGGATGGGGGAAAGGACCAGAAAGGAGAAAATATAGAAGACATTTTTGAATTCTATTCAGTGGGATTTAGAGATAGTAAGAAAGATTTTGAGAGTGGATTTGCCTGTATGAAAGCTTTGCAGAAGAGCATATGAGCTTGTGTTGTGGTACATTTAAACATAGAAATACAAATGGGATACTGCTTTGCACAGTGCTGTATTCTGGAGGGTGGTAGAGTAATAAATGTCATAAATGTGAATGGGATACAATGAATAAGAAGCAGCTTTTGCTGATATTTGGCCAAACCATGTAGCAAAAGCCACTATTTGTACATACATGTGCCATTTGTAACTGATATCATTTGTGTATTAACTAATCAGGACCAGGTTCTTCATCCTCTATAAGATTTCTAACTTCTCCTACATAATGGTTTCCCCCAATGGATGGCCTTTCAATGACAAGCAAGCAAAAAGACCCCTCCTTTCTTTTTGAAATGGATGGAATAAAATAAATGGAGGATAAAGAGCTGTATTTAACATTATTTCCCCTCCTTTCATCCCACTTTATTGGACTGGCCTGGAGAAAACAATGTAAAGTTGTTCCATCAGTCCTTGGCACAAATTAAGATGTGTACACTCAACTTGAGAGCCACCTCACCCTGTTCTACACATTTTTTACAAGGGTGCAAAGCCTTATTTTCAAGTTTCATATTTTGTGGAGTTGCTGCAAAACAAGTTTAAAATTTCCACCACAGCAACAGAAGTGTCGAGCCTCCTTCTTGGGGAGAAGAGACAACTTAATGTTGCCAGACCTTTGGAAGGACAATCTGACTTTCTCCCTTCTTGATCATCAGAAGAACTTAACAGAATCCACTACTAGCTCCTGGTCTAGAGACTGGTGGTTCAGTTTCCCCAGGAGATTGCCCCTCATAACTAAGCCACTGATTGATCCATCAGTTTATTGTGCACTCTCTAGGTGCATGCTCTTTCTTCCTTTTTTATAGTTAAATTATTTTTATAAATTCAAAATTGTATTTTGTCATTTATATCCACCTGGGTTTTCATGCCTGCCTTTTATTTATTTTTTTCAGTAGTGAAGGAGAGTTTGTAAAAGGACTCCTAGTCTCTACACAGAACTTCGGCGCTTCATAAGTCCTTGGAAGGCTGAGAGGCTATGAAGTCCTGTGGAAACAGAGCTGATGGCTGAACGCTGAGTGTTGCAGAAGCATCTGTTGGATGGGGTCTCTGGGTAATGCCCAGGGGAGGAGTGGCTCTGTTCCATGCAGGTATCAGAGGTGGAGAGGTCTCTGGGGATTATCATGGGGATAGAGTACTGCAGCTTCTCCCGGCTCTTATACCAGAGGCAGGAGCACATAGATTGGAAGTGGAGAACTTCAGCATAAACATTTCGGAGTCCTCCTCTACTGCTGCTGCTTCCACCAACCCCTATGCCCCCTAATGCAGCAGCAGTTGAGGAAGCAGTAGTGTCTGTTGTATGTACACTGTTGGCCTGTCCATTGCGGGTGAGCAGTGCCCGGTGTTCCGCATCCCGCTTTTCATCCTCAGCATTCATGGTCATGAACCGGAGCACCACCAAGTTGAGAAAGGCCCCAATGACTGTCAGCCCAGTTAAAATGTAGATAAAGCTGAAGGCCACATATTGGGGCTTGGTCTGGAGGGCATGTTCTTTCTGAAGGGCCACATAATCTCCAAAACCAATGGTGGTGAGGGTGATAAAGCAGTAGTAGTAGGCCTGGAAGAAGGTCCAATTCTCATAGTAGGAGAATGCAGCAGCTCCAATGCAAAGGGTGCTGATGCAGGAGAAGAATCCAATAGTGACCATATTGGCCATTGATACTTCTGGCCGTCTCATGCCAAGGCACTTCTTGATGCGGTGCAGGAGGTACCTCACAAAGGTGTTGATCCTCTCGCCCAGGCTCTGAAACATGACCAGGGTGAGTGGGATTCCCAGCAGTGCATAGAACATACAAAAGACTTTCCCACCATCAGTGCTAGGGGCTGCATGTCCATAGCCTGCGGAACAAAAAACAAAGCAACCTGGTCAGTAGCACCTCATAGATTATGAATACCATTTTCATGGGAGAAAAGAGGACGTTTTCATTCTGGCTTGATAGGTGATGGGTGTGCCACTTCCTCATTCAAAATGTTGATTGAAAAAAGGGAGGAATCACAGCTGGATGGGATGCTGCTCTGGCCTGCAAACTCAGTGGTGTAGCAATCTGTACCAAAGTCCTTCTCTTCTGGTCCATGTCCACCTGCTTTTGGTTCAAGAGCCAGGAGAAGCTACAATAATCCATCACCATGTTGCACCCACAACCCTCTATCCTCACAACCTTGGCACACACCTTGGCACACAAAGCCACACCACCAAAGTTTGCAAGCTGAAGCTGCCTCTGTTCAAGCAAGGAGCATGCACGCATGCACACGCACGCACACACATGCACACACACACACACACACACACACACACACACACACACACAAATATACATGTTAAAGGGAAGGGTAGTGATGGTAAAAGGATGGTACAAGGAAGAACAGTGATTATGGGTTCCAACTGAGTTAATCATATGAGGATCTGAGAGTTGATCAGAATGTGTATTGAAAGCATCATTGAGATGGCCAAGTAAGGAGAATATAAAACTGAATGAGGAGAATTTCTATGCTACTCTGTACAATTTATATTACATCTGAAGAGTTGATTAACCTCTTGAACACATTCAAAAGCCAGGATGGATAACGTATGGCCCTGAGTTATCTGCAATGCCTTCAGTACCTTTTTTCCATCCTCTGAAGGCCCCTTAAAACATGATTACCAAAATGTGACAACAGAGTTTCAACCATATGAGGAGGCAGGTTGCAACTTGAAAATAAGAAAATAAGAATAAATGCAGTTATTATTCTTCACAGATAGCGGATCAGCAAAAGAAATGTCTAGAAGCAAAGAATAGTACTTACATGATCTTTACTATGTGGATGTCAACCAATGCTGACAGAAATATCTCACTATTATTTCCAAGAATAATTAACAAGAACAGTAACCCCAAGAAATTGCCCAGAATTGCTATGAGTTGGGTGGCATATAAATTCATATCATCATCGTCGTCGTCATCATCATCCAGACAAACCTGGGGTTACAATAGATCAGTACGATATGAATTCAGACATTCTTGATCCAACCCAAATATGTCACAGGTTCAAAACATTTCCCAAACGCATTGAAAATTGTTAACATTTCATTTTATTTGACCAATTCAATACTAATTCAGACTTTTCTGGGTCAGTAGCTACCTGTTTTTTCTGGGGGGAAAAAAATCTTCATTTGTACAAGATCATAGGACGATTTTTCCCCTTTCTTTCCAAATCTGAAACCTATATTCTTTCAGCATTAAAGAAATTAACTAAGTCATAAGATAATAAAAACGTTGTTTCATTTATTGTACCTGCATTAAACAACCTACATTCAACAAATATACAAACTTCAGGCCAACAAATCTTAATGTGATTGGCTGGGGACTATAATAGCTGTAGCCCAACACATCAATTTCATTATGGAAAAATAGGCAAGTAATTACCATTTTATTGGATAGACCAATAATGGACCAAACCTTAAAGGTATAGAAGCTGTTTTTCAGCTTCTGTTCCTACAAGAATGCTTAGGAATGACTGCCAATCTTGCCAGAATTCTACTATATTAGCAATATTGTGATGGCAGTCATACAAAGCAGCATCTGGTTAAACAGAATACAGTTTTCCTTGAGGACTGAGGACCAGAACTACCGTATTTTCCGGTGTATAAGACGACTCGGCGTATAAGACGACCCCCAACTTTTAAGAAGGTTTTTGTGGCTTAGAAAGTCGTCTTATACACCGGAAAATACGGTAGTTTTATGAAATATGTCTTTTCTGAGGAAATCTAGTCAAAATCTGACAGAAAAATAGATTGGAGTTCCCAGACGTGAAGGGAATTGCTAAGGAACCTGGCAGTGCTTTGTCTACCAGTAAAACTACAGTAAAACTTTGATTTTATGTAGATTTCAGATTTACCAAGGAAAAAAAATAAGTGTGGACTTCAAATAACAGATAGGCTATTCTTTCTGAGGCAGTCTGGACAATTAACATAATGCATGTCATTTGCATCAAAGTGTTTGCAGTTACATGTTGATACAAATTATGTACAATATCAATTATATAAGGATTCAAATTATGTATGATATCAATCATATAATGATGCAAAATACATTAATTAACGCAAATGGCATTAATTATGGCAATTATCTAAATTTGGATTTAACAGACATTCAGCTTTAACAGACACCCTTTCCTTCATTAATCTAAAAACTAAGGCAGTGTTTTCTGTTTCACATCTTTCATCCATTTGTACAAATTCTGGAAATGACTTGGAAAAGAGTGACAGTATCAGGGGTGGAGTGCCAAGAAACTCAGGGTGGTGGCCATGATCACATAAAATACAGGTAAAAATGTGGTGAGGTTTCAGTCATAAAGGCATGGCCACCATCTTGAGGATTTTTTCTGTTCTTCCAACCCCCAAGGCTGCCCCTGGATAATAGAGCATGGTTTTCAAATGTGGTATCTTTAAGATGTTTGGACTTCAAATCCTAGAATTCCGCAGATACTATTGGAGAATTCTGGGATTTGAAGTTGACATCTTAAAATTGCCATATTTGAAAAACAATGATATAATAGAGGATTAGCATGCATGCAATCTTTTCTTCCTCCCAGTTTGGTCCACCATTCTATTCTAAAGAAAAATGATTCAAGAAAGTCTAAACTCCGGTGGAGTCAAATGACAATAAAGGGGGCACTGAAGAGTGGAAAAAGACATCCTCAAGCTAGGATTTTTGCCAGGTCTGATTCTCATAGGAACCAATTGCTGATTAAGAGTGTAAGAAAAATGATTCTTTAAAATATAGAATTTTACTCTGTACTAAACATCTGCAATTTTTGTACTCTAAAATATCAGTGCCTATTAGCAATAGCTAGCTAAATGGTTTTGAAGCAATATTTCAACAAATGAACAAAACCATGGATATTAATAAAAAGTCAATAGTGCAAATCAAAATAATCATGACTTCTCTGCCTTCAGAAGCCAGAATATGAGTTATCTACAGCAGTTTCATCAAATATAAAAATATAATTAGATTTGAATTATACTGTATTTGCTTGTTTAATGGAACAAAGCCTTTGAAGTAGAGGATTAAAGCACCTATTTATTTAAATAGTGGATTTTAAAAAAAAAAATGAAGCATGTTGACTCATATTTTCTAGTTTCTCTTTTCTCTAGTGCAGAGAGCAGAAAACACAGTACAATGGTGTGAATTTATGAGAGAAAGTATTTCCGTTGCCTAAAATTGTTTCTTATGTTTTGTCTTTGTTCTGACACACACCACAACTCGTAGGTTCTCTTTTGCATTATATGGGAAAGAAAGCCACTTATTCAATTTTCTTATTTTTAAAAGATTGCTAATGTGCAAAACAAATAGGATGCCAATGGGAGGAACCCTTCTGCAGAGTATGCTTTATTCTTCAACATGCAAAAGTACTAAAATAAGTAGCTTTAAAATGTAACATGCAAAGCATAGCAAATGAAAGTTTTCTGAACAAAGGAAATAAATATGAAAATAATTGAACTGGAATTCAACTGAATTCATAGATGGCCACTGATTTCCACATCAGTAGACATGAATGTGTGGATCTAGTGAGCCTCTTGGCTGTCCAAAGCTTTCGACAAATACATGGAATTCAGATGAAGATCAGAGTATTCAATCCTTTGTTCTTCTAATTCTATTATTCACATCCACAAATATGCCTTTTTTGTTGTAAAACCTGTCTTCTGAAACAGCTTATTACATCCCCTAAGATTAGATTGATCTGGACCTTGCCAGTCATTTATAAAGTACTGAAGAACTGGAAGTGTCCCAGAGTTTGGAAGTTGAGAAATTAGATGGCCTGTTGAGAGGTTTTTGTTGATAGTTCTGTTGAGGTTTAGCCTCAGTGCCCACGATAGCTTTTTACTCTTTGTTAATTTATTTTATTGTTTTTATATGTTGTCAACTACCTACAGTTGCATTTATGAGACGAGTGACCTTATAAATTGATTTAAATAATAAATATATTCCTCACAGAGGATAATTACAATTTGGAAATATCTTGATTACAGCCCAAGGTAAAATAAAAAAAAAAGGCTCTATTATTATTTTTTTCCAGTCCACTTTTCAAATTTAGTCTAAAATTTCAAGATGAGAGAAGAAACAAGATAATAATAATAATAATAATAATAATAATAATAATAATAATAATAATAATAATAGTTGAAAACAATCTCTTTCCACCTGAGCAGAAAGGAAACCGCCCCAATAGCAGAGGAACAAAAGATCAACTCCTAATAGACAAAATGATCTTGGAAAACTGCAAGAGAAGGAAGACCAACCTGAATGTGGCATGGATTGACTACAAAAAGGCATTTGACTCTCTGCCACATGACTGGATAATCAAGTGCCTAGAAATAACAGGAGTCAGTAGAAACATCAGAAAATTTGTGCAAAGATCGATGGCACAATGGAAGACACAGTTGCAGATCAATGGTGAGAGGCTGGGAGAGGTTAATATCAAGAGAGGAATATTTCAAGGAGATTCATTATCACCATTACTATTTGTTATTGCACTGTTTCCTCTGTCAACAATACTGAATAACTCAGGACATGGCTATCAAACATCAAAAACATCTACCAGACTATCCCATCTCCTTTACATGGATGATCTGAAGCTGTATGGAAAAACATCATCTGAAATAGAATCGCTGCTCAACACTGTCTGTATATATAGCCAAGATATTGTTATGGAGTTTGGCTTAGACAAATGTGCCACACTTTACTATCAAACAAGGAAAAGTAGTGAAAACTGAAGGAATCAAGATGCCCCACGAAAATAACATTAAGAGTCTGGATGAGGAAGATTACTACAAATACTTGGGTATCCTTCAAGCTGACAAC